GTCCAGCACGTTTCTGTGCGCTTGGCCTGCTGTTCCCTGCTCTGTGCTGGTGATAAACTTGAGGGTGGAAGCAATTTAAGAGCACACACTGGTAAGGACGCATGGCTGCGCCAGGCTGTACCTGATAAAACAACAGCGAACTCTGCAGGGGGAGAATCGCTGCCTTGCTGGGTGTCTCCGTGCTCAGCGCGGTCCTGTGTCTGCAGGATCCCTTAACCACGATTCGGGAGCACTGCGAGCAGACGGAGAAGTGCGTGAAGGCACGGGAGCGCCTGGAGCTGTGCGATGCGCGCGTCAACTCGAGGTCCCAAACCGAGGAGCAGTGCACAGAGGAGCTTTTCGACTTCCTCCATGCCAGGGACCACTGCGTAAGTGCAGCACGGGGGCCGCAACCTCCCTGCTGGTGCTGTGAGCACAGGAGCGTTTAACAGTGTTTCTGAGACTGCTTTTGTGCCATAGAAATAAAACTTCACTATATTAGCATTACTCATTCAGAATTAAGCCTTTTTATCTGGGCTGATGCTTTGTAAGAAATCTCATCTTATTCTTTTTAAGGGGTTTTCTGATACTTGTAAAACATTTAAAAGAGCAGAGAGGTGTAGTGCCATGCGCATTAGTGGTTTAGAAAAAAAAAAAGTGATGGGTGAAAAGCTGTCCTAATTTACAGATCTTTTGAACTGAGAGAATTTGATAGTAAGTGCTTTCTCTCTTGTTTTTCAGGTTGCTCACAAACTCTTCAGTAAACTGAAGTGAACACTGGGGTATTCATCCATCCGCTTCCACGATCCAACAGAAAATCCTTCTTGGATTCACAGTGCTGCTTGCTGCCCCTTTATTTTGAATGTGAAATACCAATGACACAGCTTTCTGGCAGCTGGGCAGTGATTGAATGTCAGCATGTCGCTGCATCTGTTTTCATGGAAGATGTGCAGCTACACAAAACACATGTGAATGTTCTGTAATTTTCCATATTAAACATCAGGTTCCTGTGGAAATATCTTTTATTTCTTAATGCTTGTGGTTCTCACTTGTGCCAGTGCCAGGTTAGGGGTGGGTTGTAGTGCCTCTGTGGATGGAGGGGGGCTCTTCCTCGCTTTCGGGAACCTCTTTTGCGTGCAGCCTTTATGAGCAGCAGCTGGAATGCAATTCCACGGGCAAGAGCTTTTCTGTTTGCAGCAGATATTTTCAAACCCAACAAGAAGGTTATTGTTGATATGGTAACTTGTGATTCAATTAAACTCCTTTCAGGAAGCAGGATGTGGGGTGACACTTTTTTTTTAGAAGTGTGACTTTTGTGGTGTACTTGAACACCTGGGAAATGGTCTTTCATGGAGTCATAAAACTGTTATGTTCAGAAAAGACCCTCAAGATCACTGAGTCCAGCCACAAGCCCTTCAACACCATGCCTGGTAAACCGTGTCCCTCAGCACTGTTTGGAGACTTGTTAAACAGGCTATTTGTGACTTTAAGAGTCCTCTTTGTTCCAGACCTTGAAACCTGGTGCTGTCCCTTGGGAAGCAGCAACGTGCTGCCTGTAACGTGTCTTGTGGGGAGTGCTGGCAGCCGCCCCTCATGGCCACCGCTTGGTGCCCGTGGTGGCGAAGCCCCTTTGGCGCAGTCCAGCCAGGCAGGGCACAGAGGAGACCCTCCCGGGGCCGGGCTGGATCCCCCCTCGCCCTCCGCCACCCCAGTCCCTTCCCCTGGGGCTCGAGGTGTCCGAGGAGGCGGCGGG